AAACTGTCATTTTGACGTGGCATGGACCAAAGAGCACCCAATTATTTGGGGAAGGATGACCGAGATAGAAATACCACCTTCAGAAGGGTATAGACCTTAGAGCAGTGGTTCTCAATCTGTGGGTCATGACCCCTTTGGGGGGTCCAACGACCCTCTCACAGGGGTCGCCTGATTCATAACAGTAGCCAAATGATAGTTATGAAGTAGCAACAAAAATAATTTAATGGTTGGGGGGTCACCCCAGCATGAGAAACTGTATTAAAGGGTCACGACATTAAGAAGGTTGAGAACCACTGCCTTAGAGTATATGTCAAGAAACAATAGCTTCACATTTTGATATTTTGTAAAGGTTTCTATGATTTCGCAGCAGCCTTTTTTACTTTGTGTGTGTGTTTGCTTATAAAGAGAAAAACTTCTCTCTAGGAAATGACTCACAGGGGTGTAGAGACCAGCAGGTCCCTGATCCATTGGTCAGGAGTCAGGCTGGAGGCTTTTGCGTGACTCAAAACTGCAGGGGCTGACAAATCCAGAATTAGCAAGCCACGTGGCAGGCTTCTGGATCACAGGCTGTGGAGGCTGATGAATGCCAAGAACAGGAGGTCAGATGATAGAAAGCTAGGTGTAGGATCCAGAAAGAGGGAGCAGCTTGGCCAGAAAGCCCACATAGAGATACTAGACGTAGGCTGCACTCTCGAGGAAAGTCCCTTTGTAATCGTGATCGATGTGTGCTCCATTATGTAGCTACCCAATTGCATCTTTACCTAACTGCCAGACCACTGGGCATCATGACCTGGCCAAAATGACACACAACTGTAGCCATCATACTCCTGAAAATGTAGCCAGCAAGTCAGATTAAGTGGTGGCACTGGGGACCCCTGAGTTTGTGGCTGGCATCCTGAAGGGACGGACAGTGGGGGAGTCCCAAATTATAACCAGCAGGCTAGAAGTGAAGGTGTCATGGGATCTGAGAGGCTTGCAGCTGTCCCCTGAGCTCTTGAGCAGGCTTGGCAGTCTAGAGAAAGGCCTGTGCTCTTTGCATGATGACGCCTGCCCTTGCTCCCGGTGGTGACAGGCACAGGATCAAGTACCTTGTGTGCACCTGGCACCAGAACGGAAGTGGAACAGCATTCAATACATGTACTTGGGCTGAACACACATCACAATCGAGACGTGCGCGCTTGACTATTCACCCACAGGCTTTTAGAGGGTATGAGATGACCAGGAAAACACAGCCAGGGGCTTCACAGAGCTCACCCTCCACTGCCACTAGTATAGCTGTTGTACTATTAAGAACTTGGTAGGTTAAAATCAAGCTTCTTCCAAGACAGATTTGTTTGTCCTTCTGACCATTGTACTTTCCATTTTCTTTGCCAATGGCACTCTTCAAACCCATCAAGTCTTCTCCAGTCTGTACTTTGTGCGGTCTGCCTTTCACGTGCCTAGGAGACAGACCACGGAGAACACCATGGCTTGGTTCCAGCTCACCTGAGTCCTCGAAGTGACATCTTGCTCTTTAGCACTTTAAATAGGTCTCAGGCAGTCCGAGGCAGTATGTCTTGCCTGCTGCTTCCAAAAGTGTTAACTGTAATTCGGCACTGTCCAGATTTCTAAAACTTCAATGATATTAAAGAACCGCATCTGTCCTACCCTTGTCATTCTTAGTTACCCTGTTTTTGGAGTTTTGGAAACGGCGCCAAGCAGAACTTGAATACGAATGGGACACAGTTGAGTTACAGCAGGAAGAACAAGCCCGGCCGGAGTATGAAGCACGGTGCAATCACGTGGTAATCAATGAGATCACCCAGGTAAGGAGGGTGCTAGTTAAATGCAGTTTAATCTGTTTATTGAAATCATTCTCAGCCTTGGCCGTGCTCTGGAATCATGCAAGAGGCTTAGCAGACACGAAATCGTCTGACGTAGTGGTCTGAGGTGTGGGCTGCACGTGAGGTTTTTCTTTATACCCCTCTAATAATTTATTTCAATGTGCAAGCAAGGAAAAGAACCACTGCCTGGGACCTCAGTGGCCATAGGAGCCATGTTTCAGCTAACGAGATGTTTCATAATGACAATAAAAATGCAAATAAAAAATATTCCGACCCAGTGAGCAAATGTGTAAGGAAATCTATAAGGTTGTGATAGGTGATTCTCCATGATTTACTTACACAACTTTAATTAATCCAAACCAACCAGACCAGTCCCCGCACACAACCCCCTCCCCCCTCCCAGGTCAATGACAACGCACTTGATCCCCTGTACAGAGAACTACTTCATAGGGTTTGGGGGCGTGTCTGAACACAAAACGCCAGACCTTAATTCTGAGGGTTCAAACTGCCATACTTTTTGGTTAACAGTCCAGTGCTCAGCCAATGGCGGCGCTCTTTCATTGTACACTGACTGCCCCATCGTGTAGCATCGAGCCTCAGGCACTGCACCTCCTTCTGGTTGGGATATGTATGAAATAATGGGGCTCCGAAATCCTCAAGTAGGAAAAAGGATGGAAGGATCAGGAAAACTTTTATTAAGTCCAACTATGTTCAGGCACTGCCCTAGGTATTTTGTATAATTATGAAGGTAAATTTGCTGCTGCTGAATTTTTTTTTTAAAAATCAATGACACTACCTATTTACACCAAAGCCTGCAAAAGGTGATTTTTGGCTCATGTGTATTCTCCCTTCTTGCCATCCACAGAGAGCATTTAAAGTTGATTGGCCTTGCAGTCATCCGCATAAGGACAGTAGGTTCTGAATCTGGATCGCTCTTGGAGAGGAAATGTTTTTTGCCAAGAGCTTTGGAAAATGTCCCAATGATGGCTTTTATAAATTGAAGCACAGACTTATAGAACGCTGGACCCACCAAAGGGAGGCTAGAGGGAGCAGCCTAACAATCTCCTCTCACACCTGGAGAGAGAGTGAGGTCCAGTTATCCACCGGAGGTGACATTTGTCTTGCACTGTGTGGCAAGCTTCAAATGATCCCTTATGTGAATTGATCCCACAGTTCGCTAGAAAATATACTGTCAAAGCATGTGTTGTAGACATATTTTATGTTCACAAATAACAGCTGGATTTAGATCAAATTAGATGTATATAAAGTCTTCTGAGTATGGGATAACAAGCAAGAGCTTGTAAATTTGACAGTATAGGGAAATACTAAAGAAAAAAACAATTTGATTTAAATGCCAGTAAGTTTAATCTCCATTGAGACATTGCTTTTTAAGAAATCATTCATTTTTCTTTATATTTCTACTTTTTCCTTTTCTTGCTACTATATGTTCCACTGGTTAAGCGAGGCCTATCACCCAGTGGTGGTTATAGCTTACTAGCTTAATGGCTGACCCTGGACAATTTATTTAATGTCTCTCAGCTTCAGTTTTCTCACCTGTAAAACGGGGGTAATGGAATTGCTTCTTTAATAATGTGCCTAGCCTACTAGAATGTATGGTGCCTGACCTAGAATAAACACCATGCAAGTATTTGTAGCTATTCTTGTAGTGTAGTACAGCTGTAATCATAAGAATTATTAATTTATTCTCTAAAGTATATAAATATGTTCTTGTAAATGATAAAATGAGAGCACTCTAAAAGTATATCATGGTAGCAAATTAATATATCACACAAAACTAAAGTGCATAGGAGTTACTGTTATGTGCAGACGCCTATGAAGCTTCTTATCCTGCCTGGCCACTCGGTGGCTATTACATAAGACAGAGCAGGTTGTAGCTTAGCATCGTCCACACTCAAACAAAACTCACTGCCACTGAGTCAATTCAGAGTCATAGCAACCCTATAGAACAGGGTAAAACTGCCTGCGTGGGTTTCCAAGGCTACAGCCTCATCTTTCTCCTGCAGTGTGGCTGGTGGCTTTGAACTGCTGGCCTGTGGTTATGAGACCAACGAGTACATGTGTTTTCAAAATGAAAGAAAATAATTCTTGAAAGGAGCGCTGCAAGTACTTTGTTATGTATGTTTAAAATTATGAACAAGAAAATGAACCATTAAATAAGAAGTCTCTGTTTGAAACTATTTTTTTAATTAAATGTAGCTTAAGACTTATTGAAAGAGCAGTAGAAAAATAATTTCATTGGAATGTATTGGTTGATTAAACCTTTTTTTTTTTTGGTCCATGTTTGTGTGTGTGTGTGTGTGTGATTAGGAAGAAGAACGTGTTCCATTTACAACCTGTGGAAAATGTATCCGTATAGCCCTCTGTGCGAGTGCAGTCTTTTTCTGGGTAAGAGTTTGTTTCATTCATTCCCTCGTCATTCATTTATTCAGATTTCAAATGTCACAGAAGCCCAAAGCACAGGCTGCCAAGGACACAGGCCTGCCCATCTGTTGCCAGAGCGACTGAGCCTCTGCCTGGAACAACCCTCAAGTCCCCCCGGAGCTGTTGGCAGTGGCTCTTCCTTTTTCGTTCATCTCATCCGTTTCCCATCAGATTAGGCGGTCCAGATTTTCTCATTTCTGGTGAAGAGATCAAACCACTTCTGCTAAGAATTCGAAAAATTTCCAATAGCAGTGAACAATAAAATGTGCAGCAATAGTTTTTTGAAAAATAGGAACTGTCAAAATCCAAACTCACGCCATCGAGTTAAAGTCTTGGAAACACAGAGGCAGTTCGACCCGACCCTGTGGGGTTACTATGAGTCGGTCTCCTCCCGACGATGGCAGTGAGTTTGGGTGGTTCAGTGTCATCCTATATTATCTCATTAAAGTGTTAAGGAGCAAGGTTGGTACTTTGAGGACTAAGATGTGCCTGACCGAGCCATGCGCTTATCAATCACCTCCTGTGTGTGTGACAATTGGACACTAAAGAAGAAAGACCACGGAGATTGGATGCATTTGAATGATCATGCTGACAAAGGACACTGCAAGTACCTGGACTGCCAGAAGGACCAACCAGTCTGCCTTGGGAGAGGGCTAACTGGGATGCCCCGGGGAAGAGGGCGTGGCGAGACGTCATCTCTTGTACTTTGGACGTCTTCTCAGGAAAAGCAGACTCTGGAAAAGGGCACTATGCTTTGGTAAAGGGGCAGCAAAAAAAGGAAGATCTTCAATAAGCTGCATGGCCACGATGGCTCAAACATAAAGAACAAGTGTGAGGAGGGTGCCGGACCAGGCGATGTTTCACCCTGGTGTACATCAGGTTGCTATGAGTCAGGACAACCCCACACCCTCTAGCAACATTCTCTGATGACCATGTATGTGTGCCGAGTGTGGAAAAACGAAGAGACTTCTGGTGTGTGTTGTTCAGTGACCAGAGAAAACCGGCCTCCCAGGGAAATGAAATTCTAGAATGTGCAAACTCTGCTCCACACACTCTCCAGACATTGGGGACTGAGTGTCTGAAAGACAATGGAGTCGTGAACCGAGCTTGGGGGGATGCAGGTGTGGATGACTGCCACTTAAGATGCAACCATGAAAAGTGTGAAGCACTTCTCAGTAGCGATCTCTCACCTAGACCTGCAGTTAACTGGCCCCTCCTTGCCAGACCACTGCCCTGGCCCTGTTCACAATCACCTGCGCAGCGATGAAGACCAGTGCTAGCTAACACCTGCTGGCACCTGGACCCGTTACAGGTCCTCTGTCGGAAGGAAGCCTGTCCCCTGAATAGATTGTAACTCAGCCACCACAAAACACAAACAATACTAGTTCACAACCTAACTAGTAGAGGGATTGATTGTAGGAATGATGTTTTCGTGGGGGCTGCTGTCACAGACACATTTTCCTTCTACCAAAACCTGCTCCCCAGTGTTCCATTCGTATCCTGTGTGAAGATTCAAGGGGGCGTCAAACAGTTCGGGGTGGGGCACAGGGGAATCACATTAGAAGAAGAATTGGATTGTCCCACAAACTTTTGGAAGCCCTGTCGTCCAATTTCTTTGAAATTGAGCATGCCTGCTGCTCCACGTCTCCTGGGGCAGTTAGGTGAGCTTCCCATCACTTCACACATGCACCTTGCCTTTGGGCGTGGGACCAGCTGACCTCGGTAAGAAACAGGTAGGATGATTGGTGCGCTTCACTCGGCTGTGCTTTGCACTTTCAGATCCTGTTGATCATCGCATCCGTGATTGGGATCATTGTCTACCGGCTCTCCGTGTTCATTGTATTCTCTGCACAGCTTCCCAAGCACTTTAATGGGACAGACCCGATCCAGAAGTACTTGACGCCACAGACAGCCACGTCCATCACTGCTTCCATCATCAGCTTTATCATTATCATGATTCTGAACACCATCTATGAAAAGGTGGCCATCATGATCACTAACTTTGGTAAGCGCCAGGGTGGTGGGAGTTATTGTGGGGTGCCATTGCGTGGGCTCTGGATCGTCCAGCCCGTGTGACAGAGTAGGTCTGTCCCCCCAGAGGTTTTCTTGGCGGTGTCTGTTAAGAGAAACTCATCTTCGGGTCTTCCTCCAACTGAGCAGTGGGGTGGGTTCAGCGTGCCAGCCTTTCAGTCAGCCACAGATGCTTAACCAGCAGGCTACCAGGGCACCTATAACTATAAAAACAAAAAAGCCAAGCCCCCTGCCACCGAGTCATTCCAACTCATAATGACCCTGTATAGTTTTCCAGCATTTTTATAACAGTTATGAGCATACAGTCTCATCTTTCTCCTAAAGAGTGACTGGTGGGTTTGAACCACTGATGATAGCCAATGTCTAGCCTGAGGTACCCTCAGGACGGCTCACTACAGCTGTAGCTAAGGTAACATTCTTATTTTTACTCCTAATAAAAATATAGACTAAATCTTTTGAGGTGTTCCCATTCCAGCACGTTGCAAGTTTTAAGAATTACTAAGTGTACACGTATTTTCTCCAGCTTATATAGGGAGTGAATTATCTACGGCTCTGCATTAGTAAAAGGGACAAACCAAAGACAATCATTAGAATGTCCAGGCTCTGTGTAAACAGATCAGTGCTGAATAATATTTTCAATTACATTAGATCATGTCCCCTATTGTTGAGAGCAAATAGTCTTTTTATTGCAAATAAGTGGAATAGGGTCAGGGCTCCAGTAGCAAATATGTTCCTTTGTTGCTGAGAGGACAAGCAATCACATTGTTGCGTGTCTTCCCCCATACTGTTCATATTAATCCAGCTCTATTCTCATCCGTTCTGGCTTTTATAATAAGTATTTCTTCTGGCTGGCTTGGTTCCCAGGCAGCTGTATAGGGGCTAAAGTTAAGTGCTCCCCACACTGTGCCTGGGTTACTCCCTGAATGGCCTACTCAATGGTTGTCTAGAAATGATCAAACCAATTCAGATTCCCAACTCAGAGCGTGCCCCGTCTCCCCCAAATGCCTCTAGCAAGTCGATTTTCCTTTCTTTTTTTCAACTGACCTATCTTACTGCAGCTCAGGAACACAGGGGACTTATCATGTAGCAGCCTGATCAGAAATAGCCACCCGTTAATCTGGTCCTGAGAGAAGGCAGTCCGCACACAGTTGATAACATTGTATTTGTATATTTTAAGGAACAGTGGAATATTTTTACCATGTGGGAAATTCATTGGAGGGGAAAAAACACTCATAACAATGTGCAAACTTAGAATTAACACAGTGGCTATATTAAGGAATCCAAAACAACTTAAATAGAAACAGTGTGAATTGTATTTTTTCTTTTACATGTTAACTCACGTGTCAGTGTCTTTGATTAGGGCCTCAAAGCTGTTCACAATTTTTTTTAATCTTTCTTTTCTTTGTTTTAACTGCAGAACTCCCAAGGACCCAGACTGACTATGAAAATAGCCTAACCATGAAGATGTTCTTATTCCAGTTTGTCAACTACTACTCTTCCTGTTTCTACATAGCCTTCTTTAAGGGCAAGTTCGTGGGTTATCCAGGAGACCCGGTGTACTGGCTGGGAAAATACAGGAATGAAGAGGTATGAATCATATTCTCTAATGATTTAAGCTACGTCACGTTTTCTCGCAACTGCCTAATGAACAGTTTCTTCATTTGTTTTGTTTGGTTTTTTTTTCTGTAAGCAAAAGAACGAATTTTAAAGATAGAATTATAAAATTAATGGATGTGTTTTAAGTTGGACTCGTCTAAAATGTAAGTGGGACTTTCTTTCAAACCTTCCAGTGTGATCCAGGAGGCTGTCTCCTTGAACTGACGACTCAGCTGACAATAATCATGGGAGGAAAAGCAATCTGGAATAACATTCAAGAAGTATTATTTCCGTGAGTATTGTGTCATCTAGGGAGGGTCAAAGCTAGGAATAAAACATCCCACCAATCCAAAATATTTGCTTACTTATCCACTTGACTACAGGCCCAACTCTAGAATGGATTCATGTCTGTGCTCTGTAAAGGTCTCCAGACAAGATGGTCCGTCCCATACCAACCTCAAAACCAAATTCACTGTCACCAAGTCAGTGCTAACTCATAGTGACCCTATAGACCCTGTGACTTTCCAAGACTAATTCTTTATGGAGTAGAAAGCCCTATCTTTCTTCCACAGCAGCTGATGGTTTTGAACTGCTGACCTTTGAGATCATAGCCCAACTCATAACCACTATGCCACTAGGGCTCCTTAAGAAGGTCCAGTGTTTAATAGCTATGTCAAGAAGAAAAATAAACAAAACAACAGCCTTTTTTTTGCTTAACTGGAATCTCTCCATTGTTAAAGGTATTAAGGTGACAGCCCCAGGTGTAGCATGGCAGAGCTGTGCTCTGTAGGAAGTGTAGGGCTTGATTTCAGTGGAACTAGATTTCTAGAGGGCATTAAGCATTGGGCTGTTACTGGAAGATTGGCTGCCTGAAAGATGCAGCATTCTGACTATAAAGATTTAGAGCCTGGGAAACCATGTGGAGTGGTTAGATCTTGTCTCTGCTGTGGGGTCACTATCAGTCAGCATTGACTTGATGACCTTGGGTTTGGCTTGGGTGTGGATCATCTGGCTTCTCCTCTGAGACTCCTCTGGGTAGACTGGCACCACTGATGTTTTCGTTAGCAGCTGAATGCACCACCCAGGAATTCTCACCTGCTCTGTAGCTCAGGTGTATTAGACTGTCTTCAGTTGCTGATTGATTACAACCCATTAAGAGGTGAACTGAGGTCTGTGAGCTAAGTGTTCCCACCAGTTCTCAACATCTTCTCCTTTTGTAACGTACATTTAAAAATCATTAAGAATAACTTGATAAGTTCCAAGTATTTGCCAGTCGCTATGTTGTTGCCATGGAGCCTGGTGGCATAGTAGGTTACTTGTTGGGCTGCTAACTAACGACAAGGTCAGCAGTTTGAAACCACCACCCAGTCTTTGGGAGAAAGACGAAGTTTTCTACTCCTGTAAAGAGTTACAGTCTTGGAAAACCTCAGGGGCAGGGCTACCCTGTCTCATAGGGTCACTATGAGACAGCATTGACCCAATGGAATTGAGTTTAGAGTTTATTTAGTTTTGGGTTTTTTTTTGTTTTTAATAATTGTTTTATATATGAAAATACTTCAGAAGGCTCATAGCAATGCTGTTAGCTTTCAATTCCATTTTTCCATGAACTTTTTGAGGCCCCTTGGACATCTCTTAGGTGCCCCGGTGGCTTAGGGGTTTCGAGGTGGATTGCTAACCACAACATCAGCAGTGCACAACTACGAGGTGCTCCCCAGGAGAAAGATGGGATTTTCTGCTCCCAGGAAGGTTTACAACCGCAAAAACCCACAGGGGCAGTTCTGCCCTACCCTGTCGTGTTCCTGTGAATGGCAGTGATTTTATACAGCTCTTATGTGTTTCCTCCAAACGGGCCTTACTTCTCGCTCACTCCCCCTTTGCAAATAAGGAACCTGAGGCTTAAAGAAATGAAATGACTTTTACCCACATTTACATGGTCAACAAGAGCCGATGCTGTGGGATTCAAATCAAGATCACATGACACCAAACATGTACCCTTTCAAAGGGCTGGGGTGCATAGTATCTTCAGAGATAATTATCTACAATGAGGAGCCCAGGTAGTGCAGTGGTGAAAGGGCTGGGCATCTAACCATTTGAACCCACCCACCGAGATAGAGAGAGAGAGAGAGAGAGAGAGAGAGAGAGAACTGTGCCCATCTACGCCCAGAAGATTTATAGCCTTGGAAATCCAATGGAGAGTCTCCTCTGCTGTATAAGGTCAATACCAGTGGCACACAATAACAATAATACAGAGACTGTGAGTCCCCGAGCGGCACACATGGGTGAGCATAAACTACGAGCTGAAAGGTTTGTGATTCAAGAATGCCCAAAGACACCTTGGAAGACAGGCTTCCCAATTGGCCTCCCAAAGGTCACTGACTTCAGAGCCTCTGCACCCAGGACACCCCTCAGTTGGATCAGCTCAGCACCACCAACAACCTAGAGAGAACAACACTTAACCCTCCTTGAGCACAGAGTATCTTCCAGATCAATGAAATGCAGGCAAGCGCAAGTAATGTTGTATTTGATTCTATGTGAAAATAAATATAACAAATGGAGGAAAATCTGAACGCATTCTTTGATTACCAAAGTGGTTTTGAAAAGGAAAACAAATTCACAGCCATTTAGTCAATGCTGACTCCTGGAGACCCCCTAAGACAGGGATTTTTAGTGTTTTTGAAGAAGTGGGTTAACTGTCCTAACGTGCTATTTTGCTGACTGACTGGTTGTTCATGAGTTATTTTCTGAATTGAAAAATTAGTAGGGGGAAGTATAGTTCCTAAACTAGCACTGGAAAATTCACCTGAAATGAAATATTGTTTACATGAAATATGTTTAAATGATATAATGTAGTACCCATGGTCTGGTTATACCCTTATGCCAAGTAAACCCCATTGTTGAAAATTACACTAACCTGAACTTTGCCTTCAGCTATGTCTGGCCTTAACTATTTAGACCAAAAACCAAGCTCACAGCTGTTGGGTCCATTCTGATTGACAGTGACCTATAAGGACCGAATAGGACTTTGAGTTTCTGAGGCTCAGCCTTTATGGCATCAGAAAGCCTCAGCCTTCTCCTAAGGAGCGACTGGCGGTTTCAAGCTGTAGACCTTGAGGTCAGCAGCCCAATGCACAATCCACTATGCCACCAAGGTTCCTTAAAATATTTGGACAGTATGTTTTAAATGATTTTTCCTTTGTGTGAAAAATGGGAATGCCCAGTGTTAGCCAAAACAGAGTAAAGAGCTCTTCTCAACACTTCTCTTGGCTAGTTTTCTTCTTCCTTTTTTTCTATACAAAGACTTCACGTGAAAGAAATGTGTCAGTTACCCTCGCTACCCCTACCCACACCCTTCCTAAAAACACATGGGAAGGGAGAGAAAGGCAGCTCTTTCGCACTACTTAAATATGTTCAAAGGAGCATGCTGATTTGTATTTCGCTATACATGAATCCATAGCCCCTGATGAGGATTCTTGGAATAAGAGTGGAAGCATGTTTGGCTCAGTGGCTTAGAATCCCTTTGGGATCTCTCCAGTACCTACAGCACTGACCCTAGGACCTGGTGTGGAGTTGGCACTCTGGACTAACTCATTTCAAATGACTCCTCTGTTTCCAATAAGCAGCCCTGTGATCTAACAGTTACGTGCTCAGCAGAAACGTAGTTGTTTGGACGTACCCAGCAGCTCCATGGGGGAAAGACCTGGCAATCCATTCCCCTACAGATGAAAGCCAGGCAAACCCGTTGCCATTGACTCCGTGATGACTCCTTGTAAGGCTGTCGCCACCCTCGACGGCAGAGGCGAACTACACGATCTGATGTTCAGGGCTGTTTTCTTTACGGAGACAGATTGCTACACCCTTCTCCCAAACAGCGATTGGGGACTATGAACTCCCCACCTTTTGGTTAATACAAGCTCTAGGCCACCCGAATTCTTCCCGTAGAGGTTACCACCTAGTAAACCCTCTGGGGGCCATTCTGTTCTGACTCACCAACGCCTCACAGCAGCAAGACAGCCTTCAAACCCAGGCGGGCAGGAAACAAATAGAATGGGGGATCCAGTGAACAAGTGCAAACTCCTCCAGCCTTACCAGCCTGGCCCAGGAAAACAAACAAAACAGGACATCGTTTCGCTTATTATCTTTATATTTGAAGCATTCTGGGGATCTTGTTTTGTTCCAAACTTGATGAAAAAAGGGGGGGGGGATTACAAATCCTGCTTTACATGGCTCACTCTGAAGGACTTGTGGTACAATGTTAAAGCCAGTAATTAGGTTTAAAATTGCCAAAGTGCCAGTAGTATCATCTTTTGATGGCTGGGTACCTGCATGGCTTGGGGCCTCTCCCTTTCTCTGTTTTAAGTATTTCCACAGTAGGTAGGTGTTAATTGTAAGAGAAGGCAAGTCAACTGTGGTAAGGAAAAATACCACATCTCAAGCCACATTTTGATAGGGGGTGAGCCAGTTGCATGTGATGGAAGCATCCTTCACTATCCAAGCTCACTAATGGTGAATTTAGGAATGAACTAGATTAAAATAGTGAGGGATGCCTGTCCTTCAAGATTGTTAAAGAGTGGATACAATCGAGGATCCCAAACAGAAGTGGTGATTGCCTGGTAACGACGCTGGAGAGAGAAAGTGAAGTGGGGGGTGCTTCTTCACACCGTGCTCTGCACACAATTAGCAGAGGGCAATGCATGACACTCTTGTGCTGTATGCTGGGTAGAGTCCTGAGGAAATTATTTTGTAACTCCTGTGAAAAGAATGAGGCTTGGTCAAGGGAATAGCTACCTAGCAGTTTGATGGAACCAGGTCAAGAAACACTCTTGAGAGAGCAGCCAACAACCAGTCAGGTAAAATTGAGGCAACCAGACGTCCCGCTTTTGGCGGGACATTCCCCGGTTTTAATAAATTTTCCCACGGCATTTGAAAAAAGTCCTGATTTTTGGAAAGAATGCACGACAAGCTAGGGTATACGGTTTTCGGCTGCCATGTGGCTATTTCGCCAGGATATGAGTTTTCTCAATGGTGTCCCGCTTTTGTCCCGCTTTCCCAATGTTAAAATCTGGTCACCTTAGGTAAAATACCACGGTTGCAGTCCGTCCCAAGCTCACTGAGTCAGATTTCCAAGGCATCTTTTTGTTCTGTCTTTTAAGTGCTGTCGATTTAAGATTCGGATGCACGGTCACAGCTGAGACCCTTGCCCTAGAACCCAAAGCACCAGGGAGACAGATGGCTGGAATGCAGGCTGATATTTCCGACCACCATTGAAGGTTCACCAAAAGAAAACTGAGCAAGAGGCTGAGACTGTGTGGCTTCAAAAAGCCAGTCAGAATGATCTCTAAAATGCATGGCCGGGTATGGGTGCTGGACAGGCCCAGAGGGAAGGCTTGGTGAGCTGGCATGGCGAGTGGTTTTGAAGACAGACATTTGATCCTGAGCCCAAATTGTGATCCATTGGGGGCCCATGTTGAGAAATTCCTGGTCCTCTGAGCCATGGAGAGGACTGAGGAAGAGGCTGAGGCTGAAGCTGGAAATGGGAGGCATGGCAAAAAAATAAATAAATCAACCAAGAAACAGTAAAGTCAGCCATCTTTGGTTTGGGTGTCTGAAAGGATGAGGGCTTGCTGCATCACCTGAAGGCACCGGGGGTGGTTATGAACCCGCAGCCCCCGCCCGTGCCGTAGGCGGACTGATGACAGGGCATTTGGTCAGGGCATAGGAAGCTGCGCATTTAACCAACTCCTTGTGCCATCCTTGCAAGTACTGGAGCGAGCATCGCCTACACGGGTGGCATTGTGTCCCTGAGCCATGAGTAAAGTGGGCCCTCTTTGCAATTGGCCCCAGCCGTTTGAAGTCTGTATTGGTCAACGGGGCATCCCATACGTGGGTTTTAATGTCTCCGTCCATTCCCTGATTTGTCCTCTGACAACCCTGGACGGTGTAGGTTGGATCTCCCCCCATCGTAGCTGGGTGCACAGTTTTAGTAACCTTGCAGAGTTAAAATCCTAGTAAGTCATGGAATATGGATTAAGACTCAGGGGTATCTGATACCATGTCGCCACTGCTTTCCACAGTGTATTGCTGCCTCTGTGGTGAATGAGGAAGAAATGGGGGCAAATTGTGAGGCTGAGGAGGGAAATCTTCTGCCCTTAGGCAGCTTGGGCAGTGGTCAGTGAACAGTTGTTGCTGTGGGAAGCCCAGCACTGAGAGCTGTGGAGTCCAGTGACCCTCTGACACACACGGGGTCACCGTGAGATAGAATTGATGTAGCAGCGATTGGTTTTGTAGTGTGTATGTTTAGTTTTTAACAAGACACGCAGTTTAGTCCCAGACACTCACAGCAAACTCTTCTGCAGCCCCCAAACCACCACACCTGTAGACTCATCTCCTGCTGCTGCCTCAATGTCCCCACTCCTGCTGCCAGGAGTATGCTTTCCCTCAGGAACCTGCCCCTTTCCCCCTTCACTTCCAGTTCAGTGTCACATCTCGGTGAAGCTTCTTCTGACCCACCTCCACTCCTCACACAAATGCTCTCCATTCACAGTTTAACGTGTGTGTACATTGACAGAGAGAGATGCTTGCCCACAGAGTGGAGACAATGAGGTTCTGCTCCGTTTTCTTGTAGGTTGTCTTGACAGTAGAGTGAAGGTATCTCATTGTCCAAGTTGGAAATCCACGCAGACAGTGTAACGAGCTGCCTCGCAGCCCGACGCGGGTGTCGGCCTTGACCGTGTGTGTTGGTGTGCCCGTTGTGAGAACTCCACGAGGAAGCCACAGGCCAGCGGTTCTGTTGCTTTAGGAGAGGGTGGTCTGTATAGGTGCACACCTTGTCTCGCTGCCAACTCAGGTTTCTCTTCCGGACAAATTGCTTTGACAAAGGGGAGCTTTCATCTGGCCCACAAAGCTTAGAGACCAAAACCAAACCAAACAAAGCCTATTAAGAAGAGACGGCAGGTGGCTCTGTGGAGCGAGAGTGCACCCAGGATGGGGCAGAGCCCTGGGCTGGAGGTGAGGCCCGGCTTAGTTCTCTCCTAGCAGTATCAGATCCGGAGGTCATTTAACTTTTATTTGGCTCAAAAATAGGTCTTGGGCCTATTTTCTCTGATGTGAAATGATATGATGTTTCTGCTTAGACCTCTCCAGCGGTACCCCGAGTTCTTCCTCTGGAAGCCCAGACCTTCACAGCAAACTCTTAGGTCCTGCACCCCCAAACCACCCTTGGGAGACCGTCTGCTCCCTCAAGGCCTTTGTGGTCCCTGTTCCCTCTGCCTGCAGTGCGCTTTCCCTCGGGAACTTGCCCCTTGCCCCCCCCCACCCCACCCCCTGTTCACTTCCAGTTCAGTGCCCCATCTTGGTGAAGCCCGCTGTGAGCCACCTCTACTCTTCCCTAGACAAACACAGACACTCTCCATTCCTTGCCTAATTGCTTTTCTCCACAACATTTATCATCACCCCATGTGCTCTATCTTGATTTATTTCCTCTGTGGTTGATCAGAATAGATAGCTCCTGAATGCACTAGTTTCTGACTGTTGTTTTCACGTGGTGTCCCCAGTGCCTGCGACAGCACCTAGTAGATAAGTGGTGCTTAATGCATGATGGGTGGATGGACAGATGGATGGATGGATGGGAGAATGGAGTGGGACAGGATGATAGGATGGGACGGGATAGAATATGGTGCCTCCTATGCATTTGTTTTGGGAAGTTGCATGGGGGAAGATGATGATGCCACCTCTGTCCATGGGGAGCCAAGATGCTGCTGTTGGCCACATGCGTCTTGCAGTTTTCCAGGCCTTCTGGATCCCTCCATACTGTGTACAGTACTCTGATGTTGTTACATAAAGACACTTCTAAGTCCTACTCCTGATAAGGCACTCTGGCCTCTTGTGTGTTTTGTGAAGATTCCCCCGCTGGGCAGGAGAAACCCCTCACAGTTCTCCCTTCCCTGGCATCTGTCTTCAGCCTTTGATTTTTTGAGAGACCAACAAGCAGTTCCCTCTGGATCCAAGAACCCTGGTGGTGTAATGGTTGCCAGCTAGGATACTAATCACAAGGTCAGCAGTTCAAAGCCACCATCTGCTCTTTCAGAGACAGATGAGACTTTCTACTTCCATGAAGAATTACAGTCTCAGAAACCCAAAGGAGCAGTTCTACCCTGACCGGTAGGATGGCTGAGTCAGAATGGACTTGACAGTGAGTGTGTGTGTGTGTGTGTGTTGTGTGTGTGACATTGGTTGAGGCCTTGCTGTGCCTAGGCACTGTGCTAAACCCAACCACAGTCATGCTTTTATGTATATCTGATAACAACTCTAGGTAGCAATCATCCCCAATGTATAGAAGAGGAATTTGGAAAACCCAGTTCAGCACATGAACACACTTAGAAAGGACCCAGGACTTGAAGCAGGTCTTCTCACCGCAAGTTCAGGCCTTTGCCTCCCCCTCAGCCTCCCTTCAACACACAATGCCATTGCTGCTCTTGGGTTTGCACAGGCGACTGAACCAAGGAGTGGGTTCCAAGGATCCAGGGTGTTGTTGCGTCTTCATAAGGTCTTGCCCAAAGGGGTTTTGAGAGAAAGGGGATTGTCCTCTAGATCCGCGTATCTGGGAGAGATCAGAATGGGAAGGACCCAAGAGCCAGGGAAATAGTTGGCGTAAGTGGGATTTGGAAAGTCGTAGTATTGTATAACAGAGATCGGATGCTTTTGTTTACATGAATAAAATTGGGATCATCATATATGTGTTTATTTTGCTTTGTTCACCCATCAGTCTCTGCTTCAATCTCACTTCCTTGGAGAACACATCCCTGGTTCTCTAGACTAAATTGGGTCCCTTGTTAAATACTGGACACACACACACACACACACACACACCCCAATTGCTGTCAAGTCAATCCCAACGCATGGTGACCCCATGTGTGTCAGAGTATACCTGCGCCGCTCCATAGGATTTGCAAGGCTCTCCCAGGGCCACTATGAGGCAGACTTGCTCAATGTCAGGGAGTTTACTTTCGGTGTTCGGTTTTGTGGGGAGCACATCAGACCTTTTTCCGAGGCGCCTTTCAGTAAGTTCAAACCAGCCTTTAGTAAGTTCAAACCAGCCTTCCAGATTGTAGTAAAGAATTGAACCGTTTGTACCGCCCTTTCGGGGCACTGTTAAATACTAGGGTATGTCCGTTCTATTTTCAGTATTTATCATCCTTATAATTACCCGAGATAGGATATCAGTCTCTGTTTGCTCATTGCTGTATCCTCAGCACCTATCCCACAGGCAGTGCTGAATAAACATTTGCTGGCTGATTAACTTTTTAACTAAACAGTATGTCATGAACGTTTTCCCTGTCATTAAAATTATTTGAAATTATTTAATGGCTGCCTTACACTCATATGTACTACATTGCTATTTCTGAGCATTTATTTTTCCTGATAGTTTTACATTAAAAAGTATATTGCCACAAACATTCTATGCATAGAGAGTCTACATTTGTGTTTGTGTTCCTATCCGTTTTCTTCCAGAAGTGGAATCACTGGGTAAACCTTTATGGCCGTTTGGAAGCCTTTGATATATAATCCTAAATTGTGTTCCAGACTGCCGTATTTCTGCAGCCACCTGCCCTGCCTTTCCCCACCATTCACACCTTCTCTTCCCCTCTGGGAAGCATAAAAGTGGGCTTTCTCCTTAGTGCATGTTATGTCCTCTGAACTTTGAATTGCTCTGTTGGTTTAATATCCGGCAGCCCTGCCAGACTGGAGTGGGGAGGGCAAGGAGAGTCAGTGGCTGTCATAGGGCTGAGAATTCTCAATGGAAGTGATTCAACCTGGTGTTTTCACACTGGAAAGATTGTTTTGAAAGACAATGGGGGCTGGGAGGATGGAGGGGGGGTGGTAATTAAAATTAATCAAATGAGGGAAAGTAGTATCTTTTAAAAATTGAACTGCTCGCATGCAAAAGAAATAGTAGGAAAAAATAGTAGTGATTATAGTTTTGACAAATCCAGTTACGGGGTCCTATAATTCAGACTATTTTGGAGCAGGAAGAAGAAAAGATTATTTTTCTCTACATTTAGCATGCAAACACAAGATTCATTTTGGGGGAAGATTGCATGTTCAGCTTTGAGATATCTATCAACAAAATACTTCCCTAGCTTTGATCTGATAAAATTCTAATTTATAATTTGATCCTTTTGGCAGCTGGATCATGAATCTAATCGGACGGTATCACACAGTCTCAGGATCCGAACAGATAACCCCACGATGGGATCAGGACTACCATCTGCAGCCCATAGGCAAACTGGGATTATTTTATGAATATCTTGAAATGAGTAAGTCATTGGTAAAGTTTCAGTGATTCAAGTATGGTGTTAGCATGCTTTGAATCTCAACGGCGTCTGTTATTGAGCCAAATAATTATTTAGCTTATTGAAATGAAGATGAGCATGCTTTGCTCCACGATCAGGCTTTCAAATTAGGTGGCTGTGTGTATCTTTGTCAATATGTATGTGGTGCAAAGCAAAAGGTTTATTACCAAGCAGCAAAATGGAATATTCATTGAGGCACATCTTCACTGTTAATTATCAGAAGGTTCTAGCAATGTAGTCGGAGAATGAACTCGGCAACTATTGTTAGCTATGATTCAGCTTGCAGCTGGAGTCCAGGCAGGCTCAGCTGTTGGCTGATGCACTTCTGAACCAAGTCATTTAACAGAGCCTGCCGGAGCATGCTGTATTGTGGCAGGAAGGATCACCAGGGTCCCCAGCCACTCCCCGCCTCCCGCCCCTTCACTTTCACACCTCACGCCTGCCTTAGGCAGCCTGTCCATTTCTTATTTCTTCGGGCTGCCAGTCTCTTCCTTGCCCTTCAGTGACCTCATGCATTCAGAAGCTTGCATTCGGAAACGTTCTGCCGATCTGGAACTACCCTTTGGCAGAGCCCCCACTCTCGTGAATGTCCATTTGCATATCATTTGCTTGGGCTCCATTTCTCTCCAGTTGAACTTGGTGTTGAACTCTAGGTTGCCTATACACGGTTGCATCTCAAACTACATTTCCATAGGAAACACCCTCTCTTCTATTATGCACGACACATTTCTATCTAATAGAAGGCTAGCAATTTACATGTTTTGTATCTACCCTTTCAGCCGCCCACCGCATGGAATGGCAATGTTTTTAAGCATAGGAGCTTCGAGAAGGAAACAAACAGCATTCCGGTTGACAGGCCTTGAATGTATGCATGGAAGTGTGTGTGCTTGGACAGAGCCCCTTTGTGGTTCCTATTTACAAGTCTGCAGATAGAGGGCAGTTTTTTATTAAATCACACTCTCTATATAAGATAATTGCTTTTAAAAATAATCCATTATACATGGAAACCCATCTGCTGCCTTCGGTGAGTGAAAGGGTCATCTCATGGCGTCTTCCATCAACAATACTATGCAGCAGCTTGGAGTCTGATTCAAATTTCATTTTTGCTTTTGTTAAGTTTCCTGACCAGGTTCTGATAAGGGTGGAGCTGCCCTAGAGAATGAAGAAGCTACTCAGAGTGTGTCCATTTTTCTGAGGGACTGCACGACGGTTTACCTGCGATTGCAAAATGAGTCATAATTGCAATATTTTTACTGGGGCTATTCTCAGCATTAATAATAATAACACCCTGAGACAGAACGTCATCGACGGTTTCAGTACAAGGAAAAAAGAAACCTGACAGAAGTGGGAATTGTTTGTTTGTTTCTTTGTTTTTTCTATAGCTAGTAAGTCGAATGAAGGGCATTTCAAGGAAATGTTCTATATGCTCGCTTTTTGGGGGGGTGGGAGGGTCTGGTGGGGGGAGGTTAGTGTGGCTTTTCGAATTTCTTAAAACTCAGTGCCATTGAATCGATTCAGGCTCACAGTGGCCCGAGAGACAGAGCAGAAGGGCCCTGTGGGCCGCTCAGGCCGAAAATCCTTCATGGGAATTCTTCACAATGGCTGCTAACTAAATAACTGGGCTCCAAAATACCTCCCGAGAAAAGATGGAGTCGCGTCTGTTACAGACAGATTTTAAGATTTATGAAATGGTTCTCCTATTATCCAAGTAAAACCTAATGATTTAGAAAAACTCCTCAGCTTCTCAGAGTAGACAATCTGTGATTCTTTATTCAACAGGAGGGTGACATTTATTCTCTTGTCGGTAGAAGACAAAATTTCCAATTGCCTTTGGAAATATGTTCGTTTCTCTAAAAATGTTTAGCGCCTTTGAGAAAGGGCTCACCCCACCACCCTTTAGCCCCCTTCTAGTTTCCTACAGTAATTAATGCTACTACCAGCTACGATACCATCAGGTTTGGCAAACAACCTAGGGACTGGTCCCTTCCCCTGATGTGGGTTTCTCAGCACCCAGCGGTCCTGCTCCGTTGCCTCTACCCTGGGAAAGAACCAGAACTCACCTCTTCCTGAATCGCTTTCTCCCCTCACATCTACATGGGGATTTTCTACAAACGCCCCGCCCCATGGTACTCCAACTCTTCACACAGACTTGCTGCTCTTTTCTCTGAGCTGCAACAGACTGATTAACCTGCCTTGATTCTAGCACTTAACTCCTAGCATGTAATTATCTGCATATCTCTCTCTGCAACTCCACCGAACCTGTTGAAAATTCACTACCCTGTCTTTGGGGTCTTCCAGGCCTCGGCTTCCCATCGCCTAGAGCTGAGTGCTCACAGTGTTTAAGTTACTTGAAAATAGAGTTTCGACACACGCAACACAACGGTTGCCTGCTGTTGCTTCACCCACCCACATGAAGATCTGTATAACATTGAAAAAACAAAAAGAAAAAAAAATTTTTTAAGGACAAATTTTATTAGTGAATTGCAACCCTGCGGTGTTCACCACCAGTGTTTGGTCCTGATACCCAAGAACTCAGACGCAGTACGTAAGAGAAATAGTCTTACCAGACTTAGAATCTAAATATCCTAAGATGCCATTTTGTGCTTAAGGGGTACGCTACTGCACAGACAGAGGTAGCTTGTGAACACGCTACCCAATGGGCAGGTGCTAGCAATGAAGCCTGCCAAGTCATGAAACCCAACCAAACCAAACTTGCCGCCGTCGAGTTGATCCGACTCACAGCCGCTCCATGGGGCAGAGTCGAACTGCTGCTGGCGGTGTCCGGGACTGTAGCTGTTTATGGGACTTGAAAACCACATACTTCTCCTGAGGAGCAGCTCGTGGATTTGAACTGCAGACCTTGTGGTTCTCAGCCCAGTGCATAATCCACTGTACTACCAGGCTTCCCTTTAAGTGAGGAGGTCCATTTTCTTGGTTCTGTCCCCCGACTTTGCCATGTTAACTTGATCTTACCTTCCTCTATATCCAAGTTCCTTTTTTTTTCTAGATCCACTAAAACAATCACTTCACATAATATTGTTTCCATCTTATTTGTTGTTTTATCATCTGGTCAACAGTTCCTTACAACCCCTCTCCTTGCTTTTCCCACCAAAGGCCCTGCACTCTGTCTCCCCCTGTTCCTCCATTTCTGCTGTGTGCCCATCCATACCTGCATTAAAATGTCCAATCTTACAATTTGAGTTTCCCAAAGTGAGGGCTAGGTCCCTGCAGAGGATTTGCAGATCCATCCCTTTATCCATTCATTTCCCAGAGAACATTTATTGAGGCTGGCCTGTGCCACAGACAGCCTTAGTGACCGAATGGCTTATGCCTTGGGCTCAGGCCAGCAGCTCAGAACCACCAGCCACTCTCTGAAAGACGAGCCTGTCTGCCCCAAGAAAGAGTTACAGCCTCAGAACCCACAGGGCAGTTCTACTAACTGCTGGGGACAAGTTGGGCTTGGTGCTTGCCCTCACAGAGCCCAGTGGGGAAAGGTGAGCCCTTAATAGATCATCAACATGGTGAAAGCAAAGGATATTCTCCAGAGGAAGTGGTATTTGAGCTGGGTTTTGAAAAGTGGCCAGAAGTTCACTACCTGATGAAGGGAAAGGACGGTTCGTGCAGGGTGGCATGCACGTTGAAAAGCACGAAGTCATGAAATAGCTTGGCTAGTTCAAAAACTCGCAAGGAATGGATGATGGGTCTGTTAGGATTCGTGGTACCTGCTGTGTGTCAGCAGAGAACTGTGCACCAGGGGGGTTTCAGTGGCTGAGTTTTTGGAAGTACATTGGCCAGGCCTTTCTTCCAAGATGCCGTTGGGTAGACTTTCCGGTTGGCTGCAGAGCCCTTTAGCCGTTTGCCCACCCGGGAACTCTGTTGGTGAAGGCAAAGGCAGGGTGTCGCTTTAAGGAGGAAATGGGTGACGGGGAAATAAAAATGATCTGCATAGATACTTCCTTCTAGACACTCGGCTGCACAGTAACAGAAAATGCCAAGAACATTAGAGGGTCATGAATAAGTCTCAGGGGAAGGTTGTGGGGTTTTTTCCTTCAGTGAAGTTTTTATTTTGGTAAATGGATTGGTCCTTTTCTTTTTTCTTTTTCGAGTTGTTGTTCTTGATTTCAAAGTGGTTTAGAAGGTTCTTGTCACTTGCATTATCAGACTATACCCTGTGACTTTTTTTCCTGATGCCTTACTTTAAAAAAAATTTCTTTTTAATTCACCTGGAATTTATTTTGGTGTCAAACGCGGACTACATGGCCCTTTTCCCAGTCATTTAGCGAAGTTGTTCCAATACTTGAATTCACTGATTTGAAGCATTGCCTTTATAACGTACTAAAATACTAAAACCCCATGAATATTTGCATCTATTCTTGAAATCTATTCTAATTCATACTCTCTATTCATATATTAGTTCTAAACTATTGCAATTACCATAACATTACAATACACTTTAGAATCTCCCTGAGCTGCTTCCATTTTATTGTTCTTCTTATTCAGAATGTCCCTAATACTGTCACTGCACACAGCCCTCCACAGTACTAGGCCTGTGTACTTGTTTATAGTTCTTTTAAAACTTTAGTATCATTTTTCAGGTCTTTTCTTAAATCCATTAGGGGATTTGCATTAAACGTCTATATCATTTTGTATGGGCGGCATAGGGGGCTAGTGGGGCTTGGTATTTCTCCAGGTTTGGGGGGAGGGGATGGGGGTTGTCTACCCAGTCAAGACTATGGTACACCCTGCTCTTCATCCACTTGGTTTTTGTGTTTTGTTTTTAAATCAACTCTCCTAACAGGAAGGCGCCCTGGTGGTGTAGAGGGCGATGAGTTACCTTGCTAACCACAAGGTCAACGGTCCGATCCCACCAACTGTTACATCAGAGAAAGACGGGGCTTCCTGTTTCAGTACAGATTTACAGCCATGGGAACCCAGAGTACCCATAGGGCCACTGTGCGTCCGAATGGGCTTGATGACAATGAATTTTGATCACAATGCTCCCATAGTTCTCATTAACATATTCCCAAGTAGCCTGTGCTTTTGCTGCCACTATAAGTGGCATCTTTGGCTCCTTGGGATTTTAACTGGCTCATTGCTAATGTAAGCTTAGTCGCAGGCTGCTCCTGACCACTCGGAGATCTAGCAGCATTGGGTCCTGTTTCCAAGATGGCAGCAGTGAGCTGTCTCCTTCAGTAGGAGGTGCACTTGCCAGTTTAACACAGTCTGCTTGGCACCCACTCCACACATTGACATCACTTGCCTGGCCCCTGTGGACAATGAATGTATTGAGGGTTGGGTGAAGCAGGCGCAGCTACTCACCTCCCTGCTCCACGCTACCTAACTACTGCTGACTCTATGGCATCACCACCTCTGTTCCCTGCCTTCCTGATGAGCATGTCCCCACCCCCGTCTATGGGCCTGTATGCTCTTCTGCAACATGCCATCAGGCTCCCAGACCACAAGCAAATGAGGGCAGCCCCACCTACCTAACCACACCCTCCACAGCTCTGGCCAGAATGGTTCTGGTCTCGTATCTGAGCAATAGCCAGCCTTTACGGGGTTGTATATTTTTCTTTCCTCCACAACCTGGTTTATACCTGGATGATCCGTTGCCATTGAGTCTGTTGTGACTCACGACAAACCCACATGTCTCAAAATAGAACTGTCTCCATGAGATTTTCAATGGCTGGTTGTTTGGAAGTAGATCGCTAGGCCTTTATTCAAAATGCCTCTGGGTAGACTTGAAACTTCAACCTTTTGGTTAGCACACCACCCCCACCCCCACCCACCCCCACCGAGTCAATTCAGACCCTTAGCAACACTATTTCTATTCCTTTCTCTGAAGGTAGCTCTTGGGCAAAAAACCAAACCAACCTCACTGCCATCAGGTAGGTCAGTGCTAACTCACAGCACCCCCCTGTGGGTTTCCGAAAATGTTACTGTTGCTGGAGTCAAAAGCCCAGTCTTTCTCCCAAGCAGCTGCCGGTGGCTTCAAATTGCCAACCATGTGGATTACAGGTCAACTCGTAACCACTACACCACCAGGGCTCCTGAAAAAGGTTTTTGTTGTAGGTATCTGGCCCATGTGTGGACTATAACAACTTCATGTTAAAACCCCAAAGGAGGATTAGAATATTACTTAGGAAGATACTTCTATCACATATATTTCTATGATTTAGAATAATATAAATTCTCTGAATGCCCTGTATTTGCATACACTGGCTCAGGGGAGCTTGCTCATTTGTCTCTTTTCAGCCTATTACCTCAAACATTCTGTAATCCTCCCCAAAGGGATATTTCTTATTAAATACTTCATTTAGATACTTGTTAGATACTTTATTTTAGTCTTCTATTCCGAGTCACAAATCATCGTCTAGCATTCCATTATTTCAACATTGAGAACAAATAGTGTGCTTCGATAGAGCATCCTCAGTTTGTTATCAGGAAATAAATCAGGTTGATTAAAGATTCCTAAATCTATTGTTCCTATGAAGTGTGTGTGCACGTGAAAGAAACAGGCTACAATTAGCCTTCTTTCCAGAGTTGTCATATTTGTGTTTTGTTTGGATTCATGCCCGGTTCAACATTAAGTTGTTATTCACTGCCGATAATGTCTTCTCTGTGGGGTGGTTTGTCTTCCTCTTTCTTTACAAGAGTAAAGCACAAACCTGTCGTCTTCCATCCGTCCTCCATCCGTTGACGTGTGTCCATTCCATTGACAGTTATTCAGTTTGGGTTCGTCACCTTGTTTGTGGCCTCTTTCCCCCTGGCCCCGCTGCTGGCTCTGGTGAACAATATACTGGAAATACGAGTGGACGCCTGGAAACTGACGACCCAGTATAGACGGATGGTGCCAGAAAAAGCCCAGGACATTGGCGCGTGGCAGCCCATCATGCAAGGACTAGCCATCATGGCCGTGGTGACCAACGTGAGTAGACCCAGGCTTCACAGGGGAAAGACCTGGAGAAGTCTGCAAACTCCTTCGAGGGCTCCCTAAGTAGTACTCAGATGTCTCTGTGTTGGTTTGTGTGTTTGTGTGTTGGTTGTTTAATGGGGAAAGGTGCCATGACTTGTGACTGTATAAACTACACAGTTGTTATCGTTCTACTTGTTACTGTTTGTTTGTAGGTAATTCTTATTTGCCTGTCATACTCATGTTGCTCAGATCTCAAATTTTTATGCAGTAGACGCATCATAATAGTAGCAATTATAGTAATAAGTTCCAACTCCTTTAATTCCTGTGTGACCATAAAGAGTTATCCGATAGTGTTATAGAGAGTAGGTAGATGTCCATTCATTTAAAGCAGTGGTTCCTAATCCCGCAACCCTTTCATACAGTTCCTCATGTGATGGTGACCCCCAACCATAAAATTATTTTTTTTTCTACTTCATAACTGCTATTTTGCTACTGTTAGGAATTGGGCAACGCCTGTAAAGGGTCATTCGACCCACAGGTTCAGAACCGCTGATTTAGTTTCAGAACCTTGAAACAAAAGCTATAATTCTACCAAAGTTTACTATATATCCTAAAATATAAACTATTTATTGATGAATTAGAAACACTTTGTACATTCCCCAGACTAAGGAGGATCATGCAGGACAGGACCTGCCCCCCCCCCTCCGCCCCCTCCCCCCCTGCAGTCCTCCCTGCCCACCCTGCTGTCTTCTCCTGGCAACACTGGCCACTCCTGGAGCAGCCGAATTCGCTGCTTGGAACTCAGCTCAGATGGGACAACCTTTCATTGTTTCCAGCCTGCATTCATTGATTATGGGCCAGTCAGAACCATTTTTGTTTTTTGTGTGTTGTGTTTTTGCACAAAATGACAAAGTGGAGAAAGAGGCACAATGCAGAAATGTCCATAGAACATTATTTCTTCCTTCCTAGATCAATTTCCCCAACAAAATTATTTTCCCGTGATAATTCTTAGTCAGCCACAGTTGTGAGTGCTTTTCCCATGAGCACCTGGGGAAACAAGTGGAACTGGACCGTGCCTGTGGATGGGGGTCCTCGGGAAGGGAAGTTGCTGATCACTACAGCTCCAGTTCCCAACCCCGCAGCTCCCCCCCACTTCTGGGCTGCGTGATGCTGGGCCAGGCCATGAGCCTTCAGAGCTGCGTTTTACCATTTGTAAAATGAGCAATTCCCTCCCATTATAACAAGGCAAAAAGGGCTTGGGAGACTCAATGGGTTAACGCATTAAATATGCAAAGCCCGGTCTCAATAGAATGTTAGCTACTGCTACCTTTACTTTATTATCATTACTACTCAACTCACTGTTACTAATAGTGACTCCTACTACCTTAACTAGAGCTGCAGGAATTTCAAACTAGTCACTGCCTATATGAATGTTTCCCAAGGTGCGCTCCACTGGGATAGCCTAGGGATGCTGGAACGACCCAGGTAGCTGGAAAAGCAGGTCCTTACACTTGGTCCTGGATTATGGGATAGAGGACAAAAGTTCTCCATTGCTAATGGGGCACTGAGTAATTTGGGTTTTTTTTCCCTGAAAAGAGGGCAGCGGGCCGAATGAAAGTGGAGAACCCATGGTCTAGACTGGCGAAAGGGAAGGAAGGGCCCATCAATACCAGATAGCACCACACACCTCACCAAAGAAAAGTAGTTCCAGCCATCCCATGAGGGTGGGTTCATGAAATATTTGACCAGAGTATGGCAATTAGTAATGATGTTATCAATATTCACATGGCCCTTGGCTACCCTCATCTAGATCATGGTCACAGTCTTTATTTGTACAGTAAATCAAGTTATCTGAACCCCAGCTGTCACCTCCGCCACTCCCAGAACCCTTGGTTTATTTGAATTGTTTGCTGTCTGTACTTTTTGGAGAAAGTTGCAAATCACGCACAAAGCCCAGCTGCTTGGATATGTCACTTTCCATCCATACAAATAGCCTGCACTTCAACCTCCACTCCACTGCAAAATGAAGAGTGATGGTCTGAAATATGACAGGGAGGCGTTTCAAGTGCCCGAGTCATAAAAGGATGAATCTGTCATGTGCAATATGCTCTACTCCACTAGGCAAGGCAGGAACGTGGACTTGTATGCTTTAGAAAAATGTCAGCAATGAGATTTGAAACTAAAAGGCTTTCTGTTTGACCTCCGGCTAACCAGAAAAGCCAATTGATTCAAAAGTCCCCGTTCCTGAAGCATTTCAGTTTGATTGTATGAAGCACCCTTTCCCAGTCTCTGTGCCCTGGTTCCATTCTGTTAGCCCAGATGGAGTATCGGCTGCGCTGCCGAGCGTGCTCTGTGTATCTGTGCGCACACACAAGCACACACGTTGACTAATTGGTACTACTGGGTCTTATCTAATTGTTATAACTTAGATCTCACTATTATAATGTCCTAAGGAAACTGTGTGTGAGGCTTGTGTAACCAGCAGTGTCTGACTTCCTCTAACTTTATCCTGGGAGAAGGAATCAGTACCAGCCCAAGACCATGTCTTATGAGATGGAAGTCAGATATGCTTCTACTCCCCAACCTTTCCCCAGTTCTGACACCGGCCACCGCTCCCACAGCATTCGCTGCTTCTCTGCCGGCTTCAATAGTTTGTGGCAATGGCCACCCCGAACCCACAGACCATGCTCACCATGACAGGGCTTCTTAGCACATTAACAGGTTACAACTCAGGTTCAAGAACACCCCGGGTACAGTTCTTCAATCAGAGCAGCCTCTTCACCTGTACCCATAAGTATGCCTCTCTTGCTTAAGCAAATGTTAAAATGTTCTTTTACCTCTGTCAGCGGTGCTCCGAGGCAGCTCACTCTGTCAGCAAGCCTACGCTCTCATGGACCAGGAAGCCTGCCACGCTGCCTCATGCCCGTTCTCTTGCTGTGCTGTTCCTCTGTCCCTCCCTGTTGCCATCTCTCACTGTCTCTGGTGTCACCACAGTCTGTCTCCTGGCTTGAGGAGGTTCCACTTAGGGAACTTGGGTGCAAAGGACGTGTCCGTTGCTGGCTCTCCTTTCATGATGAGAGCGTCATCCCATTTTCCTGCATCTTGGCTCTTTTTAAGCCAAGTGGGATGGCACAACTGGCCAGTCCCTATGTCAGGGTTCCATGTACTCTGTTTGCATGGTCCTACTCCCAGCAAGGGGTCCGTGAATGTTGTTTGCCTTGTTAACAACCTTTCTAATCCCCTTGGTGAATCACTATAGTCACCTCAGATTTGCATAGTCCTACTCTGTCATTTGGTGGGGGTGACAAACACAATGACTTCGTAGGCTAGAAAGGTCCTAATAAGTAATTTACAGCACCACGGGTTGTGGCGTCAATTAAACTATATCAACAGTGCTTTTTTTCCATATTGGGATTTTTTTTTTTTTGCAATGATGCTGGTCATCTATAAGTCTGTATATGTGTAAAATTTAAACATGTATCTCTTACTCCTTTACATGCCTGATCTCAACCCCTCATGTACCTGTTGGGTGTCTCCCACTCTGATGAGTGGCTAAAAGGCCACTTGTCTGTAAGAGAAACGTCTCACCGTAAAAAGAAGAGAATAGGCATGAGGGACGAGAGTGGGTACTGAGCAGGAGTTTGGTATAAAATTGTTCATTTTAAAGCTGCTGGTTCAATCAATCAGCTGAGTTGGCATTGTTGCATCATGCCAGAGCATCTGCTATTGAAGACCAATTTTAATTTATTTTGATATAAATGGAAAACTGTTCAGAACAGCGTAGGAAAGGAAGCCCATTGCATTTATGTGTACTCCTGCAACATGTCTCTCCGGCAGCTCCATGGAGGGCAAAGAGAATCTTGTCAGAAGACAATAGAATTATCTTCCTTGTTAGAATTTGGATAGCTTCCTCAAACATAGCAGCTCTCTAACAAGTGAGTCTCTAACAAGGTTTAGTAACTTAAAGGGCAATGAGAACGCTTAGCCTAGTGAAATCTAGAAACGCGAAGGAGCCCTCACCGCCACCATAGGCACACCCACAGACCCGTTTTTAAACCACCACACACACACCCCGATTCTTCACTTTAGAGGAAGTGGTGAAGCTGGGCCTATCGGGGGATTCTGCAGCAGAAAAGCCCTTCGTTGTGTTTCTTGCTTTGCTGAGACTTTGTTTGTTGGTTTGTGGTCTCACTGTGTCTAAACCATATGTTCAGATGAATACTATTAAAAATCATGTTGAGCCAAAAACATGTCTCCT